CCTCTAACACCAGCTGAAAATCAAAAAGTGAAATCCAGCTGTTCTCTGAGCAGCTGGACAATCAGATAATCAGTTCTGGGATTCAAGACGCTTTCTTCTTGTTTAACAACAAACTGAGTCGATGCAGTTTCTGCCTTTTCAATTTCATAAATTAAAGTTAAAAAAAATTATTGAGCTAAAACTCGTCTTTTACAAAGTTTGACTTAAACAGCTGCGACTGTTGGTACTTCCACAACTGATCCTTCTTGAGATATTTAGGCTTTTTCTGACATATTTTTCTATGGAGCTGTTTTTAATCATCCTTAAAACCCTTTAAAATGCTTATAAATCTTTATTGAACTGTACTTTTGCTCTGGTTTTATTTATTTATTTATTTATAAATTCAGCTTCCATTCCATCATTTTTATTTGCTTTTAAAGCTATCATTCTATTTTCTGCTTTTCCTCCGGTAATTTAAACTTCTGTGCTTCTTTCGGCTGCTCTTTGCTGTTAGCAGTTTTCTGTGTTTTTAGCTACATTTTAGCTCATTTTGACTTCTTTCTGCTAAATTCACCTTTTTGATCCAACGTGCTCTTTCTGTTCTTTCTTTCCGCTTTCTTAACTATTTCAAAACAAATGGCAAGTATTTTATACTTATTTTCTTGTTTTTAGCTCATTTTAGAATTTTCATTTCATTTCCGTATTTGTTAATATGAAAGTTTTTTCATGTACTTTAACTTATTTATGCTAATTTTAGCAAATTTTTTAGCTCTTTTCGTGTTTTTTGATACCTTTCTATTGATTTTTCACTTTTGTTTTCCTGCTTTCATCAAAAATCGGCGCTTCAGATTTAACTCACGTTAACAGTTTTGTTGTTAAAAATCTTCAGCTTCTTCAGCAAAAATCTTTCAGCGTTAATCTGCTGCGTTTTTGCAGGAAATGTTGTTTCTGTAGTTAATTTATTCAAAGTGAACACTAATATTATTATTAAAATAATTTTAGGGTTTATATTTGGGCACAATAAGTGGCTGGATGAGGTGGTTTTATTTTGAAAACTCTGGCAGGAAGCAACAGATGGTCTGACTTCTTTTAAAGATGATTATTGTGTGTTTTTTTGTTGCACAGTGTGTCGTTTGTGTAAAACTGAAGTCAGGTCAGCTGAGAGTTGAAGGCTTCCCTCCTGACCTGCAGTAAATGTTGCTGCACTGCAAAAACCAGCATCAGAAACTGTTGGATTTAAAACATTTAGTTGAATTTTCTGTGATTAAAACAACTTTTAGCAAACAGCAAAGATATTATTATTATTATTATTATTATTATTATTATTATTATTATTATTATTATTATTATTATTATTATTATTTGTAGCCTTTTATTACCTAATGTGTTTATTTTATTTTAACATCAGGATTTTTATCTGTTATTTTAGCACCAATCTAGTTTCTGAATTTGTCTTAAAGACATAAGTTACTGTTAGACAATAACAACGAAATCGATTCTTTAACTTTTATAAATTGATTTACGTTTTACGCAGTTATAATGGATTATTAATTCGTTCTGATTAATTGTTACAATATTAGTTGATGTATTTCAAGGAGCATCACAACTGACTAAAGAAATTTATTAAAACTAAACAAGAAGATAAAGAAAACGTTTGTGGAAGAATAAAAAGCAGCAGGTTCTGTTGTGTTTATTTAAAAATCTATATTTTTTTAGAATTTGTTCAATTTTAACTCGACTTTCTGATATTTTCATCTTCAGTCAGTAAGTTGTTTTTGTTTTTGCAGGTTTTCGTCTGACGCTGGGTTCTGCTTCTTCTCATCCTTCCTGGTGGTCTCCATCTCCGTCTGCCTTCGATCAACCATCAGATTTCACTTTTTCCCCCTTTGGAGCAAATTATTCCTGATTTTTTTTATTTTAAATAAATCAAAGCTTGAAGTTGCTCAGCGGCACATCGGCTGGACGGTTCAGCAGCCAGCATGGAGCGCAGCAGCTGGAGTGGCAGTGAGAGTCCAGGGGAGGACTTGGACAGACTGAGTGACTCAGGAGGGGACAAGACCATGGATGGGGACCCCGAGGGGGTCTGGAGCCCGGACATTGAGCAGAGCTTCCAGGAGGCCCTGGCCATTTACCCGCCGTGTGGGAGGAGGAAGATCATTCTGTCGGATGAAGGGAAGATGTACGGTGAGTGACCTGAGGTGCACTCTGGAAACAAACAAACACAGAATCAGTTTTTTATTCTTTCAGCTGCTTTAGGCTAATTTTAGCTGCTTTACTGTTTTAAATATTTCACAACAAATTTTAACTTTTTTGTACATTATGTTTTGTTCCTGCTAATTTAACTATTTCACAGCCCTTTCACCATCTGGGTGCTAATTTCAACTTGTGTCAGCTACATTTAGCTTGTTTTTATGCTAACTTTAGCTGTTTTCTGCTATTTCAGCTCTAATTCTGCATCTTTCTGCTGTTCTTGTGCTATTTTTTACTTTTCTTTCTGCTAATTTAAGCTTTTTACACTTCTGTCTGTTGCATTTTTCTCATTTCAGCTGTTTCCTGCCTGTTAGCTGTTTAGCTGTGTTGCTAGTTATAGCTTTTTGAAGCTAAAGACACATAATGGCTTTTAAAAGTAATTTTTTCTGCATACTTCAGCAAACACGTGCTCCTACATTTTTGTCTTTTCAGCATGTTCAACTCTAATTCTGCTTCTTTCTGCTAATCTGAGCTTTTTACACCTCTTTTAGCTGCTTTATGCTAATTTCAGCTTGTGTCAGCTACGTTTAGCTTGTTTTTATGCCAACTTTAGCTGTTTTCTGCTATTTCAGTTCTAATTCTGCTTCTTTCTGCTATTTTCAATTTTTTTCTGCTTCTTTCTGCTAATCTGAGCTTTTTACACTTCTTTCAGCTGCTTTATGCTAACTTTAGCTTTTCAGCTGTTTTACTGTTTTAAATATTTCACAACAAATTTTCACTTTTTTGTAATTTTATGTTTTTTTCCTGCTAATTTAACCATTTCACAGCCCTTTCACCACCTGGGTGCTAATTTTAACTTGTGTCAGCTACATTTAGCTTGTTTTTATGCTAACTTTAGCTGTTTTCTGCTATTTCAGCTCTAATTCTGCTTCTTTCTGCTATTTTCAACTTTTTTCTGCTTCTTTCTGCTAATCTGAGCTTTTTACACTTCTTTCAGTTGCATTCTGCTAATTTTAGCTGCTTTATGCATTTTAGCTACTGTTTAGCTGTGCTGCTAATTATAGCTTTTTCAAGCTAAATACACATGATGGCTTTTTAAAGCCTTTATTTCTGCATACTTCAGCAAACACGTGCTCCTACATATTTTTTGCTGAGATCAGCATGTTCAGCTACATTTCAGCTGTTTTACTGCACATTTTGGCTGCTTTAGATATTTCACAACAAAAGTTCACTTTTTATGTACGTTATGTTTTGTTCCTGCTAATTTAACTATTTCACAGCCTTTTCACCATCTGGGTGCTAATTTCAACTTGTGTCAGCTACATTTAGCTTGTTTTTATGCCAACTTTAGCTGATTTCTGCTATTTCAGCTCTAATTCTGCTTCTTTCTGCTGTTCTTCTGCTATTTTTTACTTTTATGTTTCTTTCTGCTAATTTAAGCTTTTTACACTTCTTTCTGTTGCATTTTTCTAATTTCAGCTGTTTTCTGCCTGTTAGCTGTTTAGCTGTGTTGCTAGTTATAGCTTTTTGAAGCTAAAGACACATAATGGCTTTTAAAAGTAATTTTTTCTGCATACTTCATAGGGGTGTAAGAAAATATCGATACACTGAAATATCGCGATATTTCATTTCCCGATA